CAGAGATGTAAATGTACCTGCAGATGGAGGGAGCTGAGATAGGTGGGAGAGTAAGGTGGGTGAGCTGGGTGCATGCGATATAAAGGGTGACTGAACCTAGGTCCTGGGTTCAGCCTGCTAACTCAATGCTGACTTAAGTTCTTATTCTTTTGCCCTCTTTCCCCAATCCATTCTAGGTTGGCAGCTGTAAATGTGAGGCTCCTGCAGAAATGGCTAGTGATGGTGAGGAGTGTTGGGGCAGTGATACCTGCCTTATCCCCATCATCTTTTGAGGAAGTTACATAGGACAGAGGTGCACAGATCCATAGTCCACCTGTCCCCCTCAGAAACACTGAACAGAAGCTCCAGTGTTAGGGCCAAGTCCTGAGGTGACAACCCCGACACTGAAACCCATGATGTTAGGGTCACAGTGAAGGAGCATTTGCATGCCAGGGGTTCTAGACAAATACAGGGTCTGACCTAATAGAGATTGAAGCACATTAAACATGGTCACAACCCTTGTTCGCCTTCAGAGTATTTCTGGCATTTCGTCAACTACTCTACTGAGGGGCAGTAGACTGCCTGTGTAAACCTAGCTTGAGCTAGGTAAAAAAAAGTATTTTTGTACCAGGACTTTTGGGGATGTCCAATACCAGTTTGCCTCCGTTGGGGAATCTACCACAGTGGTCAAGAGTAGGACGTCTGGATAAATCAAGCCATCTCCAGCTTGATAACCAGGATAATCTGGAACATCAGCCTAACTCTCAGTCCAAACCTGTTCAAGTCTGCAACAAAGACCGCGATAAACTAGTCATGGACTTGGAGAAAAGCCTGGCATTCTTGCAGCAGCAACATGCTGAGACCCTAATGAAGCTTCATGAGGAAATTGAGAATCTCAGAAGGGAAAACAAAGGTGAGGTGACTTTCCATGTATGACTTCCTATAGATTCTGAAATTATTATATGAGAGATTAGGTAATTGCTGCTGTAAATCAAGAAATCTTTTAACTTCTTTTCCTCACAAATGCTAAATTGTGAATGAATTACAATGATTGTAGGTTTTTTGATTCTGCAAAATCTGATTCAATATCCCCCCTTTTTTTCTTTTTTGTCATCTCTTTAAAGACCACCCTGATGCCATTTGTTTAGGCCTACCATTCTTTGTGGTTTTTACAAGAGTTTTATTTTGAAATTGTCAGAACACATTTCCTAACATTGAAGATTATAACAGGAGATACAAGAAGGGAATGCTAATGATTTTGACTGAGGGCTAACAAAAGCTACATGACAAACCCAGTCAGACACTAGACTCCAAAGCCAGAAAATGCACAAGAAACTACTAGACAGCTTAAGGAAAGGCAATGAATAAAGTCTTTTCACACCTAGTAGGCCACCAGTTCCATTTATCAAAGGGTGGATACGTAGTACAGGTTGTACTTCTAGTTTGGCATCCCCGGGGCCCAACCAGTGCCAAACCAGAGAATTTGCCAAACTATGGGCAGTCAGTATTGTAGATGCATTACCAATACTTCCAATGCTTACTGGGCTCTTAGAAGACCTGAGTTATGCTATACAGACAGTCCCCGAGTTACGCGGATCCGACGTATGTCGGATCCGCAGTTACGAATGGGGCTTTTCTCGCCCCAGAGGACGGGAGCGGCGGGACGCCCAGATGCGCCGTGGTCCGCCGCCCCCGTCCTCCAGGGTGAGATAGATGCATTACCAATACTTCCAATGCTTACTGGGCTCTTAGAAGACCTGAGTTATGCTATACAGACAGTCCCCGAGTTACGCGGATCCGACGTATGTCGGATCCGCAGTTACGAATGGGGCTTTTCTCGCCCCAGAGGACGGGAGCGGCGGGACGCCCAGATGCGCCGTGGTCCGCCGCCCCCGTCCTCCAGGGTGAGAAAAGCTGCTCCCCGTCTCCCTGGTCTGCAGGGAGCCGGGGAGCAAAGCCTTGGAGCACGCCCGCAGCGGGACAGCCCAGGCGCGCTTGAGCTGTCCCCCTGCGGGCGTGCTCTGCGGCTTTGCTCCCCGTCTTCCGACCAGCAGACCAGGGAGATGGGGAGCCAAGCCTCGGAGCACACTCGCAGTAG